GACTACGGAAACATTATGAGCATTGTAAATATTTGATAATACAGTTCCTAATAAATGTTAAAAGCCAGTTACCATAGAAACCATCAGAATACAAACTATAAGGCAACCAGGTCTTGCGTAAATATGTAAACATTGCACGTTTTGTCGGTCACATGGCAACATAACTATTTCATATAGTATATTCATGAACGAGCGTATGTACGCGTGTTAATATAGATAAATATAGAGCACATACACACATATGCGCAGATACAGAAAGCAAACACACACACACACACACATGCGTGTGCGTATGAATATGGGTATGCCTACAGCTAATACAGGCTGGTTAAATAGGGGAACACTAATGGGCTTGGTAGAGTAAAGTAGCAGTCATAAGGCAGAGGGGATGACAAGGAGACAACCAGGGGGCAGAGAGGACGGCGGGAGGAGGGGGAAGACACCGGGGTGGAGGGGACAACAGGAGAAAGGGAAAGATAGAGGAGAGAGAGAAGACGACAGATGGAGAAAAAATAGAAGGGGTAGAAGAGAAGACAGGAGAAAGGAAAAGATAAGGAGTGCAGAGGAGACAACAGAGGATGGGGAAAGTTTGGGAAAGCAGAGAACGGGGGAAGGTAAGACAGAAAGGATAGAGAGAACGACAGAACGGGAAAGAGGGTGGAGACAGAGGAGACGGCAAGAGAAGAGCCTCCGTATTTTTAGCTTGATTATCGATCATTCCACATCCTTCTAGAAGTGCCCCTGAAAAGACACCGGGGGACTGGGGCGTCTAGGAGGAAGTGGCGGGGGGGGGGGGGCGGGGCTAGGGAGTATGGGGCGGGAAATCGAAGACAGGTGAGGTGAGAAGCGACCAAGAAGACAAGTCTAAGAGAGCATGGCGGGCGGTTCCCAATGAGCATGGAAAAGTGAGTATATAAGGTTCTAAGGTAAGTGAGAGGTTCTAAAACAGGTGAGCAATGGAGTGTCTAAGAGAGGCGAGTAGGGGGTGTCGGAGAGGTCTCAGGTGAGCACAGTAAGAGTGAACTTGGTGTGACGGGGTCTAAGAGAGGTGAGCTTGGTAAGGGAGAGTCTGAATGGTGAGCATAGGTGTGCCGAGCGCGAG